AGCGCGATGTTTTCGTCGCGCTGTGATGACATCAAATGCGCGCTTTCATCGAGCACGATTTTGTCCTCCGCGATTTTGTGGTGGAACCATCTCATCTGCCCTCAATGGCAATTCCTGCTCAGAACATTATCACCAAGCACAAATCAGCAAAAGGGAAGAAATAGCTTCAAGCTAGGAGAGGCAACGAGGAGTCAGTTATATCTAATAAACAACAGATGTAATTAACTTGGTTCGGCTTCTCTAAGCAATTAATCTGCACTGTTTTTAATAGTTTAATCCTAAAAAATGATAATAAAGGCTCAGCATTTGGGATTATAAACGTCTCCAGCAACATAATCTTATTTATTCTTTATTCAATTGTAGACAACCAGACCAATTCTAGCAGCATAACAGTTTTTTTTTAAAAAAACCTTTGCTCAGTTGTCATCACTTGCTTCAATTGAATGTATGGATGTTTGGAATTGATCCCACAAATGACATATAAAACACTGGACATTTTGTAAAGTTATCTTTCCCATTAAAAGACCTTTTTCCTTATAGAGTATTTGGATGTATTTATCACATCGATATACCACTAAATCTTGTGTTTTAAGATGGGGTTTCTTTTGTAATAAAACACAAGGCATAATATAATTACAAAAACATATCAAATTATTGCAGCTAAAATGATAATCCTACCCAATTCCAGGTGACATCATCCCTCAAAAGCTCTCTGGAGCTTTTCTCTTTCCATTGCTTTTCAAATAAGGGTCAGGAGAAGGCTGTTTTATCAAGTGGGACTTGATCATCGAGAAACACTGGGTACGGATCACTAATGATTTATTTGTTTTAAAAAAGGGGGATACACAGCATTCCTAACTAGGAGGACCATATTGACTGGATCCAGGCTACCTGGAGAAGGAAATCATATACTGTAGGTATCTGGGAGTGAAAACGTTCAAGGTTAAAGCCATCACTTTTACAGTATGCAGAAAAATCTCTTGAAAGCCAATGCAGTGCCTGCAGTTTGGATGATATATGGCTGCAAAAGGTCTCTCTAGCGAGCACAGACAGCTGTATTCTGACTTACTCAGAATTACACTTTCTGAGTGGTCTTCAGGGGGATTCCCATGCAGAGAACACTGCAGTAGTCTATTCTGATGGTGATTGAGGCATGAGTTACAGCTTCTTCTCTCTCAGAATAGGGATGACCTAGTCTTTCAGGGAGTGTGTATTTGCAAATTTTAAATGGCAAAAGATGAGTAAGGAAGACTGTAGTCTTAAGTATTTTATAAGGGAGTAAATTGCATTGATTGTAATGGTTCTTCCATTACCAAAAGCCATACTTTTGTGGTCCTTCCTCCCCCCCCTTTTTTTCTCTCTCCCCCCTCCCTCCCTCTATCCATCTATCCACCCATCCATAAATATTCTATTCACTTTCCCTTCCCTCTTTCTCCCTTCCCTCCCTTCCTATGAAGAACCCCAGAAGGCCTTTGGTAGGAGGAAGTAAAGCCAGATGTTTTGAAACTGAGAACAAGCCCATTGATCATCTGGCATTCTTAGAGCTCCATGATTGATTAGCTTAGCCTGAGCAAGGATAACTAGCAGCACTTTCAATAAGCTCTAAACTCAAGCTCCATGCACTTGTGGATCCCCAAACAGTGAGGATTTCTTTCTTTCTCCCTTGAAGCCCCCCCCCCCTGCAGCCCATTTTTGCTTCCAGGGGGCTGCAGTGAGGCTTGCTAGGCACTCCCCACATCTTGTTTTGGGCCTAGCAGACTCCCTGAAGCCCCCTGGGAGCCAAACGGGCTCGTGGGGACTCCTGGAAGGGGCAGGGGAAGGTAAATTTTTGAGCCTGTTGGGGACAGTGGTGGTGGTGGTGCAGCATGCTCAGAGGTGGGTTCCTACCAGTTTGCACCTATTCGGTAGAACCGGTTCGTCAAATCTACCGAACTGTTTAGAAGAGGTTCTACCAGTGGACCCGGAAAGCAGGCCACACCTACAGAAGAGGTTCCAAAATTT